CAGTACAGCGGCAATTTCGACTGACACAGCCCGAGCTCGACGAGTTAAGGAAGCAGTTAGATTACCTGTTAGAGAAGCAGTTTATTCGACCGAGCTCGTCACCGTTCGCCGCACCCATACTGTTCACACCGAAAAAAGACGGAGGTTTTCGCATGTGCATCGACTACCGAGCGCTTAACCGAGTAACAATCAAATCGCGATACCCCATCCCCCGCGCCGACGAACTCATTGACCAACTGCGAACAGCACGTGTCTTTTCGAAAATAGATTTACGGGGAGGTTACCATCAGATTCGGGTCGAACCATCGGACTGCGCAAAAACAGCATTTAGGACTAGGTACGGGTCATTCGAGTATACAGTAATGCCTTTCGGATTGACGAACGCGCCTGCGACTTTTCAGATGACCATGAACGAGGCGTTTAGACCACTTTTAGATAGATGCGTGATCGTTTACCTCGACGATATCCTCGTTTACAGTCGGGATAAGCAGCAACACTTAGCAGATCTCGAAGCAGTTTTTAAGGTTTTAGAGGAACATCGGCTGCTCACCAAGGGCTCCAAGTGCGAGTTTTTTAGGGATAGGCTAGAGTTTTTAGGTCACGTCATTTCCGAGGCTGGGGTTGAGATCGACCCAAAGAAGCTGGATACGGTAAAAGCGTGGCGCCCCCCGACAAACATCACGGAACTGCAGAGTTTTTTAGGGTTTGTTAATTACGTTCGACGGTTCGTGCCCGACATGGCACGTTTAACAGCCCCACTAACTGATTTACTGCGTAAGGGGGTCGCTTTTACGTGGGGGGAGAAAGAGCATGCTGCCTTCTCTGCCCTAAAAAACGTCCTCTGTTCACCACCCGTTCTACGTATCGCTGATCCCCACCGCCCTTTCGAAGTGGTTACCGACGCCAGTGACATCGCCATCGGAGCTGTACTGTTACAGGACTTCGGCAACGGCCTCCAACCCATCGCCTACGAATCACGCAAACTACATCCGCCTGAGCGAAATTACCCGATACACGACCGCGAAATGCTCGCGATCGTGCATGCATTCAAAGTTTGGCGCTGCTACTTGACTGGCGCAGACGTGACAGTACGGACAGACCACCGATCTCTACAGTACCTCCGCGCACAGCCCCACCTCAACCCACGACAGATTCGATGGCTCGATTTCCTCGAGTCGAATTTTCACTATACGGTCACATACAAAAAAGGAGCATCGAATATCGCCGACGCACTGACCCGCCCCACTGCCCAGATCCACGCGATACTACTCGCCCAGACCAGCCCACTGCTTACCGGCCTATTTACCCACGGATATCAAACAGACTCGTTCTTTACAGGAGGCAACTCACAGCAATTCGCAGCGGCAAAAGGAGTCTATTACGTAAAAACTGGAACCGACCGCATCTGGGTACCGGGATATACGCTACTGCGGGAACTACTGTTACAGGAAGCACACGATGGAGTTACCTCAGGACATTTCGGGGTAGAAAAAACACGGCAGCAGCTGCAGCGGTACTACTACTGGCCAGAAATGTTGACCGATGTGCAACGACATGTGGCATCGTGTCCCACTTGCCAGCTCATGAAGTCAAGCAGGAAGCGACCAGCGGGGCAATTACAACCCATCCCGCCTCCAGAGCGTGCTTGGCAGCAGGTGACGATGGACTTCGTCACGGGGTTACCAGCTGGGGCGAGTGGGAATGACGCGATCCTGGTCGTCGTCGATCGACTAACGAAAATGGCTCATTTCGCAGCATGCAGGAAATCCATCACAGCCGAAGAAACCGCCCGACTATTCATCTCCACCGTCGTACGACTGCACGGGATACCCGCGTCGATCATCAGCGACAGGGACACGAAATTTACCAGCAACTTCTGGCGGAACCTGTGGCAGCAGTTCGGCACACGCTTACAGTTCAGTTCATCCTATCACCCCGAAACCGACGGACAGACAGAACGAACAAATCAGACCATGGAGCAGCTGATTCGAGCCACGTGCGACGACCCGAATACGTGGGAACAGCAGCTGCCACTTATCGAGTTCGCATACAATAACGCACCATCAGCCACGACGCAACAGTCGCCGTTTTATCTAAATTACGGACAGGACCCAACAGTACCCATGACACCGAATCCCGACAACCCCGTCCCACGAGCACAACAGTTCGCCGAGATTCTGCAGGCAGCACGGACCAGGGCAGCAGAAGCAATAAAAAAATCAAACATCATCGCTAAACGCAACGCCGATCGACATCGCCGACCCGTTACTTATCAGCCCGACGACCTCGTTTTACTCGACACTCAGAACCTTCGCCTGCCCATCACTCTAAAACTTCGCCCCCGATATTGTGGGCCATTTCGCATCAGCCACATGATCACACCAGTTACCGCCCACCTCCTCCTCCCCGCTGACTGGTACGTCAGCCCGTCATTCCACGTCAGCCTACTTCGCCCTTACATCCCATCCACGAGCCAACTGCCACGACATCGCCCAGCCAGCATGACACGTCCCCCAACCGAACCACTCATCACCCCTGACAAAATCCTCAGCCACCGCGTCCGCGACCCTCGGGGAGCCCGAAGGATCGAGTTCCTAATTCGCTGGAAGGACCGAACGGCCACAGAAGACAACTGGGTCCCCATGGATAAAATTGAGAACCACCCTGTCTTCACCGAGTATCTACGAAGCCGAAATTTCCGCGACGTCCATGCGCTCTCGTAAGGGGGGCCTCCTTGGGGAGGGGGGTAGTGTAAGGAAATTCCCTTTTCCTTACTTCGCGTCCCTGCCCAGCGCGTACGTCACTGTAGCACCTCAGTCAGCACCGTTACCACTCGCGACCATCGCATCATTCATCATCCCGCCTTTTTCGCACATCGCATCCCGACCTCACGGCTCGGCTGGTAACCCGCGCTCCGGGCCTACGCTTCGACACTTTCCCAACCTCAGTCTCAGGCTCGACGCGCGACAACCACAGTCCATTACCGTTACCACTATTGTTTCGCTATATAAACCTTCGCTCATGCCTTCGCCCATTGTACTTTTTGCTTCGATAGTGCAATTCTCGTTCGTTCACTCAATTGCACACGTAACAGTACTACTGACCAACCAAAGTACAGTAAAACGTACTGTAAGGTATTAGAATTTGCAAAAGGCTATGATTTCCACAGGCTGCACAGCGGGTATAATCTGTCAATCTATTATCTTGGAGCAATTAGATGAATCAATGCAACATTTACCATCGTCCAAACAAAGACATTATGTACTATTGGGGAAAGCAAGATAAACGTGTATTATTTTTGCTGCTGTACTTTTAGCGAGCATGCACTTTTCCAACCGCCTGCAGTCTGCTTTTATGGGGTAGGTTGACATGCAGCAGCAGAAGTGTGCCGGCAGCAGGTCTCACGTCAGCAGAGAGATCGGCAATCCCAAGAGGTACTTCAGCGCCGCCGATGTCAGTCACTTTCAAGTCAAGACCCAACGGCTTTAGCTGGCTCCACTTGAGGGTTATTTTATAACGGCAGGTTGGAGAAGAGTCAAGTCCCATCCTAGCTTACGCTGACTAAGACCAGAGACAGCCGTGAAGTCTGTCGCATGAATCTGTGGTCATCCTTGCTTCACTATAACCGTTGGAAGCGTAAACGACTCCACTCGAGGTGACTTTTGAGTTGACTCAAAAGTCAAGAAAAGAGACAGCCGTGAAGTCTATCGCATGAATCTGTGGTCATCCGTGTTTCACTGGAACCGCTGGAAGCGTAGACGAATCCTCTCGTTATGAGTGACAACAGCTGTGTCGTTCCGGTACGGTATGCCATCTGATCGTCGCTAATGCTTACTACATCTTAAATCTAGCCCTGACAGTTGCCTGAGGGAGTCTGTAGCTCCGTTTTGAGTCGTCCCGCAACAGATTTTGCCATCGCAGGTCTAGCCCTGGCAGCCTGAGGTTATCTGTCGCTCCTGTTTTGAGTCGTCTCCTGCTCTGACGAGATTTGACTCAGATTTGTCTCTCCTGCGTCACCGCCTGCTCATCGTATCACTGTCGCTGATCCGCATGGTAACGCCACTATTGTATCACCACCACTGTAAGTTAACCACGGAAACACTGCAACCATGGCGGCGGTTAACCCCCCACTCCTCTCCGGCGTGGCCGTTCGCGGACGCGCTCAACCCAGGAAAACTCCCAGCAAATCGTCAATATTCTCCGGAAAGCTTCCATCCTCTCCAGGCCTGCTCCTTGCCTCTCCAAGGTCTCTCACTGCTTCCGGGTCTCAGAACGAGTTCTTGACCAGCCAGGGCTCGAACCCGGTCCGGGTGTTTGCCACGTCCACTGGACGAATTCTGGGAGGCAGAAACAGACCCGAGGTACTTCGAAACTCTTCGGAGGGACCTAACATGCTTCCGAGCGGAGCTGCACCCGGCAATCCCGAGGGTATTGGGCCAGAAGAAGGGCCAGAATCCGGGAGAAACCCGGACGAATCAAGCCCGAATCCGGATGCACTGAGGCGCGATTGCACTCTCGTGCAAGGATCCGGGTGGATTATGGATGGATTGGCGCAGGAAGGAAACACTGGAAGCATTTTTGAGGCGCCTAAAAGGTCGTCTCGTCACACAGGATCCTGGCGCAATCCCCATAGCTTGAGGCGGGATGGTGGGTGCGGTGACAGTGTGAGCGGGAGCAACTGCAACGGGGGGAACAAGGGCAGAGGTAGCAGGAGGAGAAGCGGCAGCAGCAATAGAAGCAGCCGGAGTAAGAGCAGCAGCAGCAGCGTTAGCAGCGGCAGCTGTAGCAGCAGCAGTGGCAGCAGCAGCAGCAGCAGTGGCAGCGAGAGTAGGGAACTTCCAACTTGGAAAGTTCCCTCTACAACTGTCACAAGCGATTCGTTACAAGGACAATCCGGTCCCGTTACAAGCATCCCTCAGAGGGACACATCATCGCCACAGAGGGCGAGGGCTCTAGAAACGGTCGTCCGTTATAGTCACGGGGAGAAGCCCTCTCTGCTGATGGACGACCAGGCCCTGCAGAACCTCCCGTTACAGTCACTTCGCACCCGTCACACTCCATACAACAAGGGGTCCGATGGTGGTGAACGTGACTATAGCGGCAGCAGCAGCAGGGCGAGTGGGAGGGGAGGGGTCAGGGGGAGAGGCAGGGGAAGAGGCAGGGGGGAAGTGGGGAAGAGTGGGAAGGGGAGGGAAAGAGGGAGGGGAGAGATAGTTCCGACGGGCAGACAGGAGAAAGCGTGGGTGAGACGTGGTAGACCCGGGGAGGGAGGGAGGAGGGAGGAGGAGGAGGCAGATGAGAGAGGTGCGAGAGCGAGGGCTGCTGCGCTGCAGAAATGGCTGGAGGAGGGGTACGCGCTCCTGTATGGCTCCCATAACCTTCCTGATGCCCATAGTGCCCCTGATGTCTATGGTGCCACTGATGCCCATAGCCCTCTTTATGACCATGGTGCTTCAGATGTGCATGGTACTCGTGATGGCGTTGGTGGCAGTGATTATGCTTATGTTGTGCATTCAGAGAAATCGGGTACATCCACAGGAAAATCAACGGCAGAAGCAGCAAAACCAGCACCAACAGGCCTGTCACGAGCAGACCCATCAGCACCAGCCCAACAAGCAGCGACAGAATCAGCACCACGAGCGTCAGCAGAGTTATCCTCGTCTAAGGGTGCTTCGTTTCTGCAAGTCCCGTTTTTGGAGGTGGAGAAGATACCGGAAGGGCAGAGGTCGGCTGTAGCGTCAGCTGTAGCCAGGGAGATGTGGACGGCAGGCGCCGCCCATATCGTGGCGGAGATCTGCCGCCAGGTAACCCCTTCCCCGCTAGCTGCCGAGCTTGGCCGCTCGGTCCTGCCCTGGACGGCCCACGATGACGCCTGGCTGTTTCCTTCTGCTCCTGCTTCCAGTTCTGCAAAGGGTGCTGCTGGTGCTGGAAGCAGGAGCAGGAGCAGCAGCAGCAGCAGCAGCAGCAGCAGCAGCAGCTCTGCTGGTGACTCTGGTACACCGTTTACTCGTGCTCCTGCTCGTGGTGCTCCTGCTCGTGGTGCTCCTGCTCGTGGTGCTCCTGCTCGTGGTGCTCCTGCTCGTGATGCTCCTGCTCGTGATGATGCTGCTGCTGGTGCTGGTGGTTTGAGCATGGGTCGGATGAAGATGAGGAGAAGAAGTACAAGCCTTGAAGCTGGTGTGCAGGAGGCATTAGCAGGCGGCTGGCATGCCACAGAAAGTGGGCAGCATGCATCAGCAAGTGGACGGCATGCCACAGAAAGTGGGCGGCATGCAGTGGCTGAAGGTGAAAGGCAGATGAGGTGTGGTGCTTACAGTCAGAGATGGAGTAACGGGGAAACGGGAAGAGAGATGGATATGGAGGAATGGAGAGGAGGAGGGGCTGGTAGGGATGACGAGAGGGAGGCATGGAGGGAGGCGTGGAGGGAAGCAGGGCGGGAGGCAAGGAGGGAAGCGTGGGGGGAGGCAAAGAGTGAAGCAGGAAAGGATGCAGGGGGTGGGGAGGAGCAGGAGGGTGGGATTGAGGAGTGGGGAGCAGAGAAAAAGGGGAGAAGTAAGCGAGGGGGCAGCAAGAAGCAGAGGAGTGCGAGTGAGGGGCGTGTGGGGATGGAGCGTGCGCGTGCAGCTATGGGGGAAACTGGTGCGGCATGGGAGAGAGAATCTGCAGGGTTCGGTGGTCGGTTGAGCCAGGAGGAAGCGGAGGCATACAATCGTGTGATGAAGGTGAGTGAGTGGGTGAGAGAGAGGGAGTGCAAGTGAGGGGTGTGTGGGGGGGATGGATGGTGTGCGTGTAGTTATGACAGGAAGTGGTGTGGCATGGGAGGGAGTATCTGCAGGGTTCGGTGGTCGGTTGAGCCAAGAGGAAGCGCATTTTCTACCTTTCTCAGTTCTTTGTCCTTGCTCTTTTTCTCTTTCTCAACTGAGACGAATTTTGAGGCGCCTCAAAAGTCGTCTCAGTTCTCGTGGTTTTTGTATCGAGAGGATTTTGAGGCACCTCAGAAGTCAATTTCTTCGTTTCTCAGTCCTTGTCCTTGCTCATTTTCTCTTTCTCAACTGATTCCCCTGTTGCACCACGATACCATAGGTATGTGTACCTTGTCTACCATTCCCATCCCATCTCCTTATTCCCATGCCTATTCCCACGTCCTCCTCTCGTCAACTGTTTTTCCTCAATTCCGCTTCCTCTCCCCCCTCACTTGTGGCTCTTCCCTTTCCACCTGCATGCTCGCTTCTTCAGGCAGTAGTTCAGCTCAACGCTCACCAGCGCCGAGTGGTCACCAGCAGCAGCGGCACCGGCGGCAGCGTGAACAGCAGCAGGAGCAGCAGCAATAGCACCGATAGCAGCAAGAGCGTTGGCCGCCACAACAGCAACAGCGGGCACGCATCACCACCACTTGAGCAGCCAGGGTTACAGGCAGCAATCAATGCAGACATGCATGGTGTGGCGTTGGACCACTCAGATGAAGCAACAGCTAATGACAACCACCATTCCCGGGACCTCGTGCACCTGTAACCACCAACCTTGGTTTATAGCCCCCTTAGCTCTCTACACCCCGTGCTGCATACCCCGTAGCTCAAAACCCCTTTCGCTCCTGCTGCCTTAGCCCAAACCCGTTTCTCGACCCAAGTACCCATGGCCTAGCAGCGTCTGCTGGCTACGTGTAAAAAGGGTAGTTTTTAGTGTAAAAGAGACGTCTCAAAACTACTCTTTTCACACCCGAAGTACCCTTGGCCTAGCAGCGTCTGCTGGCTGCCCTCTCAGGAGAGAGTCTCTTAAAACAGCTCCCCTTTATTTCCCCTTCTTCCCTTGCCTCTGCCCTCCGTTCCCCCTCATCGTCCCTCCTCCGCTGCCGTTTCACCTGTGTACACGCAACCCCCCAGTGCGGCCCAGGCGCCCTTGGCCCAGCAGCGGCTCGTGGCGGCTCACTCAGGCCTGGTTCCTCGTCCTCAACACGCCGACCACCCATCCTCCTCCTGCTCACCCTCAACCGTCCCTCGTCTCCCCTCCCACACCCCCTACCCAGTGCGGCCCAAGCGCCCTTGGCCCAGCAGCGCCTGGTGGCTGGCGGCTCACTCAGGCCTGGTATCCTTTTCTCAACACCCTGACCATCCTCCCCTTTTCCACCCACCAACTCTCTCTCGTTTCCCCCCCCACCCCCCACCCAGTGCGGCCCAAGCGCCCTTGGCCCAGCAGCGGCTCGTGGCGGCTCACTCAAGCCTGGTGCGCTCCATTGCTCGCCGCTTCTTCGGGCATGGGGTGTCCCTCTCCGACCTCTACCACGTGTGTGAGGGGATGAAGGGGGGATGGAGCGGGGGACTGGGGAGGGGTGAGATGGGTTGGAGCAATGGAGAGACTTTGATTCGCCTAGTGCCGGCTCATTCAGGGCGAGTGCGCTCCATTGCGCGCCGCTTCTTTGGCCACGGGGTGTCCCTCTCTGACTTCTACCACGTGGGTACAAGAGGGAGGGGGGGGGGGGGGGGGGTGATGGGGGTATGGCACTGAGGGTAGAGATGGGGCAGACGGCTTTCTTCGGCCACGGGGTGTCCCTCTCCGACCTCTTCCACGTGCGTACACGCTTGTGTTGGGGGTTGTGGTGTTGGGGAGGTGGTTTTAAGGGAGGTGGTTTTGGGGAAGGCAGGAAGAGGCTGGGATGGTGAGACTGCTTCTTCGGGCACGGGGTGTCCCTCTCCGACCTCTACCACGTGGTTACAATACAAGAGAGCGAGGGAGGGGGGGGGGGGGGGTTGATGGGGGTATGGCACTGAGGGTAGAGATGGGGTAGACGGCTTTCTCGGCCACGGGGTGTCCCTCTCCGACCTCTACCACGTGTGTGAGGGGATGGAGTGATGGATGCACTTAGGGAGGTGGAGGTGGTGGGGGCTGAGATGCCTAAGATGGGTGATATGGGGGTTATGATTATTTCAGCCGCGGGTTATACCCCACCAGACAGAGCTTGGTTTGGTTTGCACTGTCCCCTACCCGCGCCTTGCTGCCTGCCTGCCTGCTTGCTTGCCACCCAGCATCTCTTTCCGCTCTCCTTCCCATCTGCTCTCCCCCACCTTTCTCAATGCTGCATCCTCTTCCTCGTCTGCTTCGTCTTCTTCCTCGTCCGCCGCTTCCTCCTCCCGCCATTCTTTTCCACCCTTCCTCCGTTGCCTCCTCTCCTCTCCTCTCCTCTCCTCTCCTCTCCTCTCCTCTCCTCTCCTCTCCTCTCCTCACACCTATTTCTCCCGCCGTTGCTTGTGCACCAGGCGGGAGTGACAGCCCTGCTGCGAGCAGCAGCAACCTACAACCCCACCCTCGCTTCTCCAGCCTCAGACCCCTCCTCGCAGCAACCCAGTGCAACCAAACCAGCCCAGTCAAGGGCACGAGGGGAGAAGGAAAAGGAGGAGAATGAGCGTGTGTTGAAGGATGAGAAGGGGGGTAAGGTGAAGGCGTGGCAGGAGGACGAGTATGGCATGAGGAAAGGCCGCTTGTGGGCTCTGCCAGGACTGAGGCGGAAAGCCCGTGTGGAGAGCGGACGGGGAGAGGCAGTGAGTGGGGGAGGGGGTGTAGAGGCCGGCAGGGGAAAGGGTGAGGGGATGAAAGGACTCAATGAAGGGGGTGGGGCAGGCCAAGGGGTGGTGGCTGCACGGCCAACTCACATGTCGCAGGAGGCGATGCAGCGCGAGGTGCCACAGCAGGTGCTACAGTCGGTGCTACATCAGGGGCAGGTGGAGCAGCGGCCAACGGAGCAAGGGCAGCTTGAAAAGGACTTCGCAAATAGCGAAAGTGGAAAGCAAGGAGAGTTGGTGGAGGAGAAGCAGGGAGGATTTGAAGAGCAGCAGGCAATGTCCTTCTCATCATGGGCCAGTCGTCTTGTTTACCAGGTGAGCCACCACCCCTCGCTGTACCCCCCACCCACCCCCCGCTCCTCTCGCCCCACTTCCCAGCAGCAGCAGCAGCAGCAGCAGCAGCAGCAGCAGCAGCAGCAGCAGCAGGCAATGTCCTTCTCATCATGGGCCAGTCGTCTTGTTTACCAGGTGAGCCCCATCCTCCTCCCTGTAACCCACAACCACCCCCCTCTCCCCTCACCCCTCCTCGATTTAACCCATCTCGCCCACAACCCCCTTGCAGTTGCCCGTTCACCACACCCTTGCTCCTCCTACTCCCACCTCCCTCCCACGAAGTGCCGGCCGGTTACCTGTCTTCTCCCACGAGGTGCCGGCCGGTTACCTGTCTTCTCCTTGCTGTGCCCCTTTCTTGTGTTCTACGAGCTGGTTTTTGAGAATTCTCAAAAGCCAACCCTCCCACGAGGTGCCGGTTACCTGTCTTCTCCCACGAGGTGCCGGCTGGTTACCTGTCTTCTCCCACGAGGTGCCGGCTGGTTACCTGTCTTCTCCTTGCTGTGCTCCTTTCTTGTATTCCCGCTTGACCACACAGACCACCCAATTCCATCCGCTCCCCCTCCCTCCATTCCCCTCTCCCTCCAATCTCTTCTCTCTCCCTCTCCCGCGCAGACCCTCCAGCAGGAGGTGTGGCGCCGCTCACCAGTCTTCTCCTTCCCATGCTCCTTGCTTGAATGCCCGTTTGAAACCCCCTTTGAAACCCCCTTCCACTCCCGCCTCTCTCCCCTCCACCTCCACTCACCAGACCCTCCAGCAGGAGGTGTGGCGCCGCTCACCAGTCTTCTCCTTCCCACGCTACGCCTACTTCCAATACGCTGAGATTTCTGCCGCCTATGCTGTAAGCCCATGTGTCATTCTGTACCATTCTGTGCCATTTCGTGCCATTGTAACGAGGTGAGTAGTTTTGAGGCACTGTAAAAGCCATTTGCCTGTTTCTTCCTTCCCATGCTATGCCTACTTTCAATGCGCTGAGACCTCTGCTGCCCTGCATTTTCGGAGTGAGAGAGAGAGCAAACATTTACGCCTAATTTCGTGAAACGTTTTTGCTCTCTCTCTCACTCCCAAATTTCCAAAGCCTTGCATACCCTTTCGCTTTTCCTTCCTGTCTCACCCTCGCGTTTCAGCTATTCCTGAAGCCATACTGATGCAAGGCACTCAGAAAGAGGCAGAGAACTTCTATGAGTTCATTGGATTAGTGAGAGCTCTTAACCTTGCTTCCACGATTTCAACCTATACCCTCCATCTGCTCTCTCATCTCTCACACACTCTCTCCTTCTCTCCCCATCGCCCCTCACCTTCTCCCCCCACGCAGTCATTTCGGAAGCAGCACGCCCAGGAGCCCCCTCTCGCAGCCCCCTCAGCCACCACCTAGTGACTTCAAAGTCGATTCAAAAGCGCCTCTCTCCCCTTCCCCCCTCACCCTCGGCCCCCACCCAGTCATTCCGGAAGCAGCACGCCCGGGAGCCCCCTCTCGCAGCCCCCTCAGCCTCGTTTCCATGCTCTCACTCTCCCATCTCCATTCCGCCTCTCTCTTTCTATTGCCCCTCACCTTCTGCCCCCACCCAGTCTTTCCGGAAGCAGCACGCTCGGGAACCCACCCTCGCAGACCTCTCAGCTGCCACCAGCCTCTCACCCCAACGGGTATGCGGCGGAATTCACCCGTGAACCTTAGGGTAGCTGCGGAATGTGCCCATTAACTCAAGGGGTAGGCTGCGGAATGTGCCAATGAACGCAGTGGGTGGGTATGCCGCCGATTGTGCTCATGAATCCATGGGTACGCTGAGTAATATGCCCACGAATTGCTGCAAGTTACCATCGCTCACCTCCCTGCCATGCCATCCCTCTCGCCCACCAGATTGTGACTGTATCGAGGGCCATGAGGCGAATAAAGAATTGCCTTGTATGTGTTTTGTTACACTCCTCCCACCAGATTGTGACTGTATCGAGGGCCATGCGGCGAGTGAAGAACCCTCTCTCTTTCGACGTCTCCTTGCTCCCCAACCGCACCCATGCTGAGACCTTCTCCAACGACAAAGCGGACCCCTGGCAGGTGGGTTTGAGATTGGACTGAGAGGAGGGATGAGAACAGGGATGAGAACAGGGATGAGAATGCGACAGTAACAACCTCCTCTCCTCCCCCCCCCGCATCCCCCCCTCCTTCTACTCCTCCTCTTCTCCGCCCAACAGCATCTACTGGACTCGGAGCATCTGGTCCTCCTCTCACACGCTCTCTCCTCGCTTCCCTCCATCTATCCGTCTCCACGTCTCCTCTATGTCTTCCCTCCCTCGCTTCCTCTCTTCCCCATCCAACAGCATCTCCTGGACTCAGAGCATCTCGTCCTCCTCTCACGCGCTCTCCCCTTTTTTTGAGCCGGCAAAAACAACCTCCCCCGCCTCTCCTTCTACTCCTCCCGTTCTTCTCCTCCTGTCTTCCCCATCCAACAGCATCTCCTGGACTCGGAGCATCTGGTCCTCCTCTCACACGCTCTCTCCACCCTCGACCCGCACCGCCGCCTCGTGAGTGCACTTTTGCTAACACATGGGCAGAGGCGGCGGGTACAAATGGGTAGTGGTGCGTACAAATGAGCAGAGGCGGTTACAAATGGGCAGAGGCAGGTACAAATGAGGGTACAGAGGGGCAGAGGTGGGTACGGATAAGCTGCAATTCTCTGTGCATGTGCCGTGTTTTCATGCACCTTCCCTAAGAAGTCATATTTTGAGTCGACTCAAAACACGACTCAATACAAGCAGAATCAGCTGCAATTCTCTGTGCATGTGCCGCGTGTTCATGCACCTTCTCTAAGATCGTTGCAACGACGTTCGCCGTTCCTCTACCTGACTCGCACCGCCCTCGCCCCCTTCGTTTCTGCACCCTGAATGAGCAGATTCTGGAGCTTCGGCTTAGCCTTAGGGGTTCTCGCCGTGTGCCATGTGTTCCTGTGCCCCTTCTCCGCACATGGTGTAATCTCTCCCTACCTCTCTCTCCCTGTCTCTGACCGTCCTCGCCCCCTTCGTTTCCGCACCCTGAATGAGCAGATTCTGGAGCTTCGGTTTGGCCTGCGGGGGTCTCGCCAAGTCTCACAAGAGGAGGTGAGTGCATGCTTCCATTTGCCCTGATTTGAGTCGACTCAAAGCAGTCTCACAAGAGGAGGTGAGTGCATGCCTTGGTGTGGCCTGCATGCATCATTCCACTTGATGCACCATTTGACATATGACGATGCACTGCGTTTACTTTTGAGTCGACTCAAAAGCCACTACGGTGTGGCCTGCATGCATCATTCCACTTGATGCACCATTTGACATATGACGATGCACTGTGTTTGACATTCGTTTTTGCGTGTTTTTTCGCAGATTGCTGCAGCGTTGGGGATGACACCCAAGATGGTGTCTTACTTGGAGGTGAGTGTGTGTGTGAAGGGGAGAGGTGAAGCACCTGGTGCTGACGGTGAAAGGCTCCCCTTTCCCAAGGTGGCAGGGGACTTGGAAGAGGAACGAACACAACAGACCATACAAAATTTGTATTCCAGACGTATCATATGTGCTTGCCATGTGCACATCACAATCGAGGGGTGTGGTGGGTGCGGGCGTGTGCATGTGTGTCATTGTGTGCGTTTTGCTTATTTCGTGGTTATTTTATACTTTCTAAGGTGTCATTTGTGGTTGCTATGTTTTGTGTGTGTTTGTGGTGGTGGTGGTGGTGGTGGGGGGGTGCGGGCGTGATTGAGTGTGGGTGCGTGTGCGGAACGCACGGGTGTGTGTTTGTGCGCACGTGTGTGTGAGTCACATTGCAGGTTTCAGCATTGAAGCAATTGAGGAAGGCATGTGTGGGTGGCACAAATATAAAGTGATAGTGCTGTTATATATACTATCCCCATCTGTGAAAAAAAACAGTGTTCACTTGCTGAAGCTGGTATGTTGTATTCCTGTGTGAAAAGTGTTCCGAATTACGGTACCTGAAAGTAGTTATTTAATTAATCAGCTCCTTCCACCTGATTCCCACCCTCCCACTCTCTATAATCACACTAGTGTGAAGCAGACTTTTCCAGTGTACCGTATTATGAATATGGACCTAACAAATGAATCCAGAAAATCCGATGTAGTTTTGATCTGGAGGCTGAACATCAGAGGAAATAAGATTATTGACACACTACACTAAGATTTCCATGTCTGTGCCATCACCATACATCCTATTTCTTAGACTTAGAGCTGTAGGAAGTTTCCTTGCAGAACCTAAGCTTACCAACCACCTCCCCCTGTAACATTCAAGATTGACAGTAACCACGCCTCCATCATGCTATCACTGTAGCAAAAATCAATTGGCTAAGGGTGGGTATTGATTGAGAGCCCGCATTGAAAGCCTGAAGCGGGCTTTGTAGCCGAAACCGAAGCAGAACAAGCGGCAGGCAGGAGTCCTTCAAAACGAAAAGAGAAGCATAAGGTACCCCTGCCTCACAGTGCCTCACCCTGCCTCACCCCTTCCTACCAACCTTGAGAGAGACCGAATGAAAGAAAGTTTGCAGTACCTTTCAACAAGGCCCAATCATGCTTATACCCACCCACCAACACCATCCGCTCTGCCCCCCCAAAATGAAATCAAACAGTGCACAGTGCGTGCTCATAGGCTGCGATCCCACCAATCCTTGACCTCGGAGAGTCGACTCGAAAATCAATGATGCATGCTCATAGGTTGCTCGTAGGTGGCTCATAATCCTCATAGGTTGCGTTCCCGCCAGTCTTTGATCATGGCGCGCACGGCATGGTTGGGCACGAGGTCCTTGGAGGGCAGCTGCTCATTGGTCATGGGCGAGCGGTCGCTGCTCTCCAGCCACGACTCTATCGCCTCCTTCTCGTACGTGTGCCCGTCCGCTGCCAGCACCGGGTTCACCATCATCTCCTGTGCGGTTGAGAGCGGTGAAAGGGGGTGGAAGAGGGTGCCAAGATGGGGAAGAGGGGGTGAGAGTGTGGACAAGCTAATAGTGGAGGCTTCTCGTAGGTGTGCCCGTCCGCCACCAGCACCGGGTTCACCATAATCTCCTGTGCGGTTGCAAGGTGTGAAGGGGATAAGTGGTAAGAGGTTTGAGAAAGTAAGAAGGCTTCTCGTACGTGTGCCTGAACGCCGCTAGCTAGCACCGGGTTCACCATCATCTCCTGTGTATGGGAGGATAGGGAAAAGGTTGTGGTAGTGTGAGAGGGGTGGTGGTGTGAGTGGGTGGACAAGCGAATATTATAGAGAAGTTGAAGTCACCGAGGGCTTCTCGTACATGTGCCCTTCCGCTGCCACCACCGGATTCACCATCATCTCCTGTGCGGGGTAGTGGAGGGGTTGGGATGTGGTGGGTAAGGGTTTGAGAGAGCATCAAGGCTTCTCGTATGTGTGCAGGGGAGGAGGATGTGCAGGAACGGGTAGAGAGGAAGACAGAGTGGAGAGTTGGAGACAAAAAGTAGACGGGGCACAAGGAAACCCAAGCTTGCCTGAGTGATGGGGCAGAACAGGCTGCTGGGCGCATCCCCAATCGACCGCTTCGCCGGCGTCTTCCTCGCCTCCTCCTCCGCCTGAACCGCTCGCGCCCGCGCCCTATCCAGCACGGGCATCACATGCGTCTCCAGATCCGGCCGCTTCTTCCTCCTCATCTCAGAACACTTCACCGCAATCTTAGCCACTTCCATGACCATATCCAGCGGCCAGTTCCCAGCGCGTTCATCTAGAAACTCCCTCATGGCCTCCTCGTCCCCGTCGTCCACGGCTTCTTCTAACCCCTCGTACACGTTGGGCTTGCGGCCGGTGAGGAGATCGAGGAGCACGATTCCGAGTGCGTAGACATCGGATTTGGGGCCGAACTCGCCCGTGCGTTGGAACTCCGGGTCGACGTACGCGAAGGTGCCGACAGGGACCGATTCTCGCATGTAGGTTTGATCCATGGACAGCCCAGGCATGAGCTTCGCCAGCCCGACGTCTCCGAGTTTCGCAACGAAGTTTTTATCGAGGAGGATGTTGCCGGGCTTTAAGTCGCGGTGCACGATAGGCACGGGGCGCGTGTGGAGGATGAGGAGCGCGGAGGCGATTTCGGCGGCGACGCGCATGCGGGTGTACCAGGGGAGAGGGGGCGTGTTGTTGGCGCAGAGGAGGCGGTCCTCGAGGGAGCCGTTGGCCATGAACTCGTAGACGAGGCAGTACCTGTCGGGACAGCAGCCCAGCAGCATCACCACGTGTGGGTGCTGAATCTGACTCAGCACTTCGACCTGTGGGAGATGGGGGAATTGGGGGAGGGGGGAGCGGGAGGAGAGGAGGAGAGAAGGCGGAGGGGAGGCAGAGGGGAGGAAAGGGGCAGGGGGAAAAAGACAGGGGAAAGGGAGGGGGAGGTTGGGGAAGCGACGGCGGAGAGATGAGGCGTGTTGTTGGCGCAGAGCAGGCGGTCCTCGAGGGAGCCGTTGGCCACGAACTCGTAGACGAGGCAGTACTTGTCGGGACAGCAGCCGAGGAGCATCACCACGTGCGGGTGCTGGATCTATCTAAGCACCTCCACCTGGTGGGGGGATGGGGAGGATAGGGAAGGGGAGGAAGGGATGAGTGGGAAGAGAGGTGAAAATTGTGGGAGTGCGTACAATGACTTGCCACAAACGTGTGGGAGCTGGATGTGACTCCACCTGGTGAGAGGGATGGGGAGGGGGAGAGGCGGGGAAACGGGAACAGAGGAATGGGGGCACGGAAAGTCGAAGGGTGAGGGTGGTGGAAGGGAGGGGGTGTGATGATGGGGAAGAAGAGAAATGAAGGTACTGGATCTGACTCAGGCACAGCCCAACACACACGTGGCCCAGCCGTCACCCACCTCTGCTATGCTCACTAACCTCTTGTTGGAACTCGTGCGCGGCCTGCATGGCGTCTGTGTTCTTGAGCACCTTCACCGCCACGGGCGTGGGTGAGGTGGAGCGTGCTACACCGCCCCACCACCTTCTGGCCTACCTTTCAGCGCAATACCCCTTCTTTCCCACCCATCTTGCACCAAAACCCTTTGCTCCGCGCACCTCTTGTTGGAACTCGTGAGCGGCCTGCATGGCGTCCGTGTTCTTGAGCACCTTCACTGCAACGGGCGTGTGGTGCAGCGTGCCTGAGAACACCGTTCCAAACCCGCCCTCGCCCAGCTTGCGGTCCGTCTTGAAGTTCTCCGTTGCAAACTGGGGGATGTTGAATGGGGGAATGCGGGTGGAGAGGGAGGGCTTTAGAGCATGATTTGTGCCCTGAGGAAGTTCTCCGTAGCAAACTGCCATTTCATGGGGAGGAGGAAACACAAGTAGCTCGGGTGCTTGAGGAGTTGATCTCTGGGATGAAATTTGAGTCCACCGAGAAAGTAACCCGCTCTCGCCGAGCGCTAGAAGTTCTCCGTCACGATCTGTTATGCATGGCAGGGGGAATCAGCTTTTGAGGCGCCTCATTCATGTGCATGCGTGCACGCCCACCCCACATTCACGAAGGCACGCCTCACTGTGCAAACGGATAGCACCAACACCCTCCTTCACCAATATACCAACTCACCCACCCTTCCACCTTCCACCTCCCCTCCACTCACCACAATGTTGTCTCGTCAGAC